AAAAACAAGTGAGCTTCCAAACATTTTCTAGGAGTCTATCCGTGACGCTGTGCTTGAAGTGGTGGTGAGCAGTGTCATACCTGATTGGAAGCAACGACCGGACTTAATAAAAGTCCTTTCTGAAGAGCACAGTATTGCCTCTACCTCACACGCTAACACTCCAAAAACTCCACAGCAAACTCCCGTGCAATCAACAGAGCCTTCTACCTCAGGTTTGCAATGATTCATGGTTTCATTTCATATTGGGTGTGCATTTTTTGAATTCACAATCCCTACATGTCCACTTACTTTTCCAGGTTCTCAACTTGGTAGTCCTGATCGACAAGGTAGCCCGCCATACACAGTCCTTCGTAAAGAAAGTCAGTCTTCACGGTCATCGAGGTCTGCAGGAAATCGAAAGGGCGAACTTTCACCTTCTTCCAGTAGACCGCACTCGGCGATTAGCGACAAGCCGAACAGTGTTGCAGAAGAACAACAAGTCGCTTCTAAAGACTCCGAGGGAGTCGGTCCACTTGAGGTTGCCTAAAAAATCTCAGCTTTGTCACATTGGTTTATTAATATATCCGAAATAACTTAATCAAACGGAAGAGTGCCCAAGGTATTTCAATACTTACTCAGGCAACGAATCTGTCGCAAACCGTAACAGCAGCAGGAGAAGCTGATGATGAACGCCCTAGTACACAAAAAGGGTTAATGGATACAACGTTGACCGGTCGAACACCTAGTTTGGGGTCGGATAATTTTGGCCAGCAGGTGACTATTTCCAAAGAAATTTCTTAGAAATTTTTATTTATGTTAAGGCATATGTTTTGACGTAAGTGGCATTAAAGAATGTTGTTAAAAGGTGATTAGAAGAGATAATACCTTTAATTACAGACAAAACAGGTTGCTCGCTCTAAATTTTGGGGCGAGGCGCGGACAGTCATCTTACAACGTGAGCCTAACAAATCTTTTGGTGAGTTTCCGCGTGCAATTTTCTACACTTTTTGTTCATTTGCATTGGAGTACATTTGATTGTAATTGTTCCTTTTGAATGTGCAGCATTTCAGGTATTTCAATAGTAGGCGGTCGAGTCGAAGTCTCGCAAAAGGGTGGTTTGCCGGGAACTGGGAACACTGTATCCGGAATATTTATCAAGAGCGTTCTTCCAAACAGTCCAGCAGGCAAATCTGGCATGATGAATATGGGGGATCGAGTTATTTCGGTAAGCTAGAACGTAGACAGCCTGCTAAGCTAATCTTTAATATCCATTTCACGCCAATTATGCTCAACACAAGTTTGAACGCATTGAGGGAACAAATTACAATCAAGTCTTTGTCAAAGTGATAGTTTGACAAAGGTTGTGTCTGATTGATGCAGAAATGTGTTTCGATAAACGGTCTTCTATAAGTAACGCTCTTGATAAATCGCCAATTTTGATAGATGAAATTAATCACAGGGATATCTTACCGGAGAATGAAGGTTTTGGAGTGGAAAAGGTTTTTTGTAATCCCTTATACTTCACTTGGCGCTAATTTGACCTATCATGCATTTAATAAAACTATGAGGCATTGCCCGAACCTGCAATCAATTATTCGTGAGCTTCGCACGATGCTTATTATAGTGCATGCCTAAATGCACATATCCTGATGAGAGATGATTCGCATATAAAAATTAATGCACGATTTGACCATTTTCTTGCGTCTGTATAGTAAAGCGAATGCTACAATTGTTCACCTACAAGAGTGTATTCTCGAAAGGGTCTACTTGTGGCATATTAGCAATAGAGCACGCTATCGACGTGGTCAGCGCTATCAGTTAGTCAATGCTTCGTGGTTGGATCAGCTAGCTGATGAGGATTGCCCAGAAATGTTTTTGCATTGAAATTCACAGGTAACACGACAGATCTTCTGAAATCGACCGCATTCGGGCGAAATGCAAAATCAATGCTAGGTTTGTATTCACATTGGTAATAGCATGTTTCTTTTGAGGAAATACTATTGCCTGCCGAGATTAACTTCATCAGTGCGCAGAATTTCTAGACGCCCTGACCTGTAAAATCTGGTCCCATCGAGCTTCTTCCTAGCTCTAAGGCTGCGGAGTTACTAACATCCATGTGTTAGTACTTTATTTTATACCAGTGCTTCACCTCTCCTTTGGAGAGGCTCGCACTGGCTTGGAGAGCTAGGTTAACAGTTTGAGAAAGTATTAAACTTAATCCAATAAGCCATCATATGCGCA